CCCCCTTTTCTGATGAAGGGTCTAGGCCCGAAACGTCAGCCTCTCTGCTCCTATGATGCTGCTTGGCCTGCTGTGTTCATCCAGCCCTGCACCTTGTTGTCTCGGATTCTCCAGCATCTGCAGTTCCTACTATCTCTGATTCAAATATATCCTGAGCCCATCGGTCAACTCTTGATCATCAGTGAAGTGATGGAAGGTGTCATCAATAGTGCTATCAAACCGCACTTGCTAAGCAATACCTGCTCATTGATGCCCAGTTTGTGTTCCACCAGAGCCACTTAACTCCTGACCTCATTACAACTTGGTCAAACATGGACAAAGCTGAATTCTAGAGGTGAGGTGAGAGTGATGGCTATTGACATAGAGTCTGTGTTTGACTGCGTGTCGCTTCAAGGAGCGCTCGCAAAATTGGAATCAATGGGTTTTGGGGCAAATTCTCCGCTGGTTGGAGACGTATGACACATAGCAAGATGGTTGTGGTTGTTAGAGGTCAGTCATCTCGGCTCCAGACATCTCTGCAGGAGTTCCTCTGTTTAGTGTCCTAGGCCCAACCACCACCTTCAATGCCCTTCCCTCCATCATAACGTCAGAAGTGGGGAAGTTTGCTGATGATTGCACAATGTTCAACACCATTTGTGACTCCTCAGATACTGAAGGAGTGTCTTCAAATGCAGCTAGTCTTGGACTAACAAGTGTAACCTTCACATCACACAAATGCCAGGCAAGGACCATCTTCAATGAGACAATCTGACTACCGCCCCTTGACATTCACTTGTGTTGCCATCACCGAATCGCCCACTGTCAACATCCTAGGGGTTATCATTGACCAGAATTTCAACTGGACTTGTCACATAAACGCAGTAGATAGAAGAGCAGGTCAGAGGTTAGACATACTATGATAAGTAGCTCACCTTCTAACTGCCAAAAGCTTGTCCATTATCTACAAGGCACAAGTCAAGTGTGTGGTGAAATAATCCCTGCTTATCCAAATGGGTGCAGCACCAACAGCACTCAAGAAGCTTGACACCATCTGGGACAAAGCAGCCCACTTAATTGCCACTACGTCTACAAACATCCACTCCCTCCACCCGTGTACACCATCTGCAAGATGCACTGCAGAAATTTACCAAAGATCCTTAGACTGCACCTTCCAAGCCCACAACCACTTCCAGAAGGCCAGATATGGGCAGCAGATACATGGGAACCCCAGTACCTTCAAATTCCCCTCCAAGCCACTCACTATCTTGACTTGGAAATATATCGCTGTTCCTTCACAGTCGCTGGGTCAAAATCCTGGAATTCCCTCCCTAAGGGCTTTTTGGATCAACCCGCAGCACATGAACTGCAGCAGTTCAAGAAGGCAGCTCACCACCACCTCAAGGGCAACTGGGGACAGTTGCTATTTCTCAAATTAATTTTAAAAAACATTCCTTAAAACCGAAAGAACTGCGGATGCTGTAAATCAGGAAAAAAAAACAAGTTGCTGGAAAAGCTCAGCAGGTTTGGCAGCATCTGTGAAGAAAAATCCTTAGCTCCTTAAAACCTACCTTTTTGACTAAATTTTTACTGAGCTGCCAGAGGAAATGGTAGATGCAGGTACAGTTACAACATTTAAAAGACACATAGACAGATACATGAACGGTTAAGAGGTATATGGGTCAAACACAGGCAGATGGGTCTAGTTTAGTTTGGGAAACCTGGTTGGCATGGACGAGTTGGACTCAAGGCTCTGATTCTGTGCTGTATGACTCTATAACTGACCTAACATCTCCTCCCTTTGTGACTTGGTATCATGCTTTGTTTTATAATGTTCTTCATAAGAACATTAGATAGGCACTTGGAGGATAGTAAAATGTAGGGTATGCAGGGTAGATCTTAGTAGGATAATAGATCGGCACAACGTCGTGGGCCGAAGGGCCTGTACTCTGCTGTACTGTTCTATGTTCTATTTCTATGAAGCACCTTGGGGTATTTGAGTTAAACATGACCTAAATTGTTTGTTAAGGATCACCATTTCTAAGGCTGCAGCTGTTTTAGAAAGACAATTAGAAATTACATTTAAATGTGGTCTTGCCAGCATCATCCATGACCCCAAAATCAAAAGGTAAATAAAACTAGAGAGGGATGGCTATATGTTGGGTTTTCACCAAGAACAAAAGAGCAATATTTGGATGAAACAAAAGATTTGTAAATGAAATACATAAAGGATTTACTGTTGCTGCCAATAGTGTTCATGAACCTTAACTTTGCATCATTCTTACTTTAGCATTCTGCTACAGTTGTATTACATTGTTCCTCAAAATAAACCAGTATTCAAATTGTGTGCCAGTGAGTGTTTTGTAATCTGCATTCTAGATAGGTAGATGTTATGTGCTGACCGTGGGTTCAACATTGTTTTCAACATTTTTATTCTTGTATTGAGCTAGTCACGACATAGTGACAGTCTTCAGTCTGAGTCAGATGGTCATAGGTTGGGCTCTATTCCAACCTAAATTTAATATTTTGGCCAACATTGAGTGATCGTTGTGAGCATATAGCCCTTGATAAGCATCACTGGAAAAGGTGTATCTGGTTAATTCATCTCTTGCGGGTTATGCTGTTTCTGTGCGTAAGTTGGCTTTCTTTGAGTTACAATGTACTTCATTCCCAGCAAAGCTCTTTGAATAAGCTGAGTTCATGCTAGGCGTCATCATAGATGGCCTTTCTTTAACAGTACAAAAAGTCTAAAGATACAGGAATACTCTGAAAAGCTGGTGATATGCAAAAGTTATGGCTTTGACTTAAAAAATGTATTTAAAATAATTAATTTTATGGGATGTGGGTGGCGCTGGCTGGCCAGCATTTATTTCCTATCCGTTGTTACCCTTGAGAAGGTGATCATGAGCTGCCTTCTTGAACTACTGCAGTGCACCTGCTGTGGGTTGATCTACTATGCCTTTTGGGGGAAATTCCAGGATTTTGACCTAGCGACAGTCATTGAATGATAATATATTTCCAAGTCAGAATGGTTAGTGGCTTGGTGGTGTTCCAGTGATCTTCCCTTGTCTTCCATCGAGAAGGACATCATGGGTTTGGAAGGTGCTGTCTGAGGATCTTTGAATATCTGTAGTGCAACTTGAAAGTAAATTGAATTGAAATAGATTCATTGTCACAGGTACTCAAATGAGTACGGTGAAAAGTTTATACGACACAACTTAAAGCATAGATAGTAGACAGTGATGCTACTTAGCATTAGTGGAGGAGGGAATGGATGCTTGTGGATGTGGCACCAGTCAGTGGGCTGCTTTGACCTGGATGGTGTCAAGCTTCTTGTGTTGTTTGAGCTACACCCATCCAGGCAAATGGGGAGTATTCCAATACATGCCTGACTTGTACCTTGTAGATGATGGACAGGTTTTGGGGAGTCAGAAGGTGAGTTACTCACCGCAGTATTCCTAGCTTCTAATCTGCTCTTGTAGCCACAGTGTTTATGTGGTGAGTCCAGTTGAGTTTCTGGTCAATGATAAAACCCACACCCCGCCAGGATGTTGATAGTAGGGGATTCAATAATGGTAACATCATTGAATTTCAAGGGACGGTGGTTAGACTGTCTCTTTTTGGCAACGGATTTGTGTGTTGCGAATGTGACTGAGCCAATTGCAAGATCCATCCATAAAATTAAATTCAAGGCCTAATGTTTAATGTTTCTATTGTTTAAGTCCACAGTTCAGTTCGCTAATAATTTCATTGCTTTTCCGAAGAATGCAGAGCAATATTTCTGTTCTGCTGCAGCTGCTGAGCTGTCCTGTTTGGCTCCCGTTCAAAACAATTACTCATTTTTCTGCTTGTGGTGTGACTAAACTTTTGCAAGTTTGTACCAAGTAGGATTACTAGTAACACACGGTTATTAAAAGTTTAAGGATTAAATCCTAGTCACTATAGCAACAAGTGTAAAAATAGTGCAGTAGTTTCAATTGGAGAGTGTTTGACACTTTTACAATGTGTGAACTTTATAAGTTGTCATGCTTTAGGTTTTGCTGCTTGCTTAAATGTTTTTAAGTTGATATTAATTTGATTAAACAATTTACTTAATTTACAGCATGAAAACATTTCCTTTGAAGATAGAAGTACTTCGTTGAAAGTTGTAAGCGCTGCATTTTTTTAGACTTTCCGAAATTTTTTGGTATTGTTTTTACTATACCTTGATAACTGTATTTAACTGGGAGAGTTTGATAATCATTTCTGTAAATCATTAGTGTAAATAAAGCAAATACTGGTGCACTGTCTGAAAACTGGCAATTTTGGGGTGGAATATGCATCAAAGTTTGGATGACGTCAGTTTTTTTAGAAAAATCGGAGCCTTAATTAACAGGAAACCCATTAAATCAAGTAAATAAGTTTATTTTTATTTGAAAAAAGTGAAGAAATAACTTTTGAAAACAATTACAAAAGGTAAAGCTGAGTTGTGGGCAGATCCAGAGTTGCTCAAAGTGTGGGAAGAGACTAGCGATCAAAACCAAGAATAGTCAGGCTAAAGCAACATTATTCAAAGTCAGAAGTCACACGATACCAGGGTATAGTCCAACAGGTTTATTTTAAATCACAAGCTTTTGGAGTGCTGTTTCTTTGTCAGGTGAAGTGGAGGGAAGTGCACAGGCACAGAATTTGCTTAGCTGTGATGATCCCAAAGCTTTCCACTTCTTTCTTTTCTGATGGCTTGGTTCGATCTTAATAAGCTGCAGCCTTGTTTCTATCTTTGATAATCTCAACTGTCCAAATAAATTAAGAGATTAAAAAGCCTCCGCTTCTGTTTGGTATTTTCACTTTGTTTTGAACTGCAGGATTTTTTGTGGTACCCAGAAGTAAACAACTCCATGAAGGATTGTTTTAAAGCTTGGACTGAGGTATGTATGACAAAACTCTTCAATGTTGAAAAATAATGGGGGAAATTATTTTATAAATAACATCACAGCCATTTATACCACATGAGAAAAAGGGCGCTGATTAGTTGACCCGTTTTGCTGGAATTGGCCGAGGCGTTCTCCAAGGCAACACAAAGTATTTTCAGAGAATGAATCTCTGCATCTATATGAATGTATTTTCATAGGTTTCCATGAAAACTGAGTTTTTGATGGAATGAGTCATAACAGTATGAAGTTATGGAAAAGACCAAACCCCTTAAATACACTAAGAAGAGAGACTCTAATTTTTACCTTTCTTAAAGGCAAATGTAAGGTGCTGTGTACCAGATGTAATTTGATCAGTCACACTATTTGGCTTTAAGAAAAACACAGTAATTTCTTACATCCAGCTAAAATAGAAATTTTAAAAAACAGTACAATTGGTATGACTAACTTTATTGGAAAGCTTAACAGAATAATAAATTATTTAACTTCTAAACAGCAATTCTTCCAATATAATAACAAACCATAAACATTCCTTGGCAAAGGCAAATTCCGTAAAATAGGTTGTTTCACATGCAATGTTTCTCCAATCCAGGAGAAAACAACACCAAGAGAAAATTCTAACAGAGAACTCCAGCTTTTTGCTGTGGCAGAGAGAGATAAAACCGCTTCCACAGCCAACTTCAAAACCTCAACCACTACAGAAAGCTAAACTAATACTCCATTGTTCTAACTTTCTCTTTTAAGAAAAACGCCCCAAGCGTGTCTCAAGCTGTTTATTGGCTTGGATGACAATTCTGTACCTCTGGCTCAAAACCTCTCTTTAAAAAATCCAAGACAAAATACCATAAGTGCCATAAATACCATTAATGTCATTATACTGTCACAATGCTCCATGTATATTTCCTTTCATAACGTTTGAATCCGCGGTTGCGTGTAAGGATTTTCTTACTTTAATATGTTTCATTCTGTGCTACAGTTTCTTTTGGAATGAAGCAGTCTAATGACGTCCCTTTCCCACAAGATGCTAGTTGAGAAATCTGTCAGTGGGTTCCAGCCATGTTAGTAACAAGCCTACTTGTATCAGTTAATGGACACATTGGGATTAAAGACCGCTTTATCATCAGTCTTGTGAAAAGGTGGCAGCCATTTGCTAATTTTTCAGTCTTAGCACAGAAATAGAGTCCAGCAATACTATTCTGTCATACATTGACCATCCAGGTCAGATTATTGAGTGCTACCCAGTGAACAGACTTGCAAATGGGCTTTTGGACTGAAAAGTACCTGGTCTGTTTTAATTACTCTGAAAAGGCCAAGCCGTCAAAAATTTGATCAACCAGTTAAAAAAGCCATTTCTTGCCACTACAATGCAACGAGTGTGAGAGTGGTAGTTTCTACTAAGACAATGATGCCACCAATCCAGAAAGATATTCTGACCATGAAACAATTGAGCAGTGTCATGTGAGAATTTCAGGACCAATATGATGCCAATTACATAGGCTGTGTGCACCAATAATTGGATGATCAAATCAAACGACACTCCTCCAACTGCTCGTGATAAGCAGAATGCAGTATACCAGCCCATACTTGCACAAACCAAAACAATCAATTGTTACATAAGATCTATCCTTGGCAATACTTGATAAACAATCCTGAGTGAGTTAATAGCTAGACTAATAACCTATTTAAGATAATCACATGAGGTCATACTGTATCTTCTATGCTTTCCAGAAGCAATGTATATGCATACACAAGGGCATGTTGTCTACAAGCGAAAGAAATCTGTTCAAGCCTTGCATTTTGTTAAAAATTATTCAGATGCAAGGGGGCTGTTAGTTACCCATTACTTTATTCATGGCAACACCTTGGACAATCAGAATCAACTTGCCAAGAAATCAGCCTCCTTTCTTTCTATGATATAAGCTGTTGTGATAATTTGAAATACTTGTGTTTGCTATTATAACTGCAAGACAAAAAGCTTCTACATCTTTTTTAGCAATATTTAAGATTTATACTACCAAGCAATAGATTTAAGATTTGAAGAATTAATAATTGACTAGCTAACCAGTGTGGTGAAGCTTAATTCACACTGCAGTTTACTTCATTGCTGAGAATGGCCTTTTAGTAGTACAGAAAATAGGCAGTTTTCAATTGACTAGCATCACACGTGAAACTTTTTCACATGTTAATATTTGTATTACAATTTATTTCTCTTGATCAGTACGTTCTCTTGTATTCCTATGCTTCAAGTTCACTTGAACCTCACGCAAATAGCATCAGCTTCTGAAATGAGTTCTCCACTCAAACCTTCTCAGTCACTTTCTGGTGTTATGTTCCATCTTCAGTTTTCTCCTATTCATTGACCATATGTTATTTGTTGGAATTACAAATATTGCACCACTTTCAGTATGCCTGCTTCCATCATATTTTACTCCAACCTATATTATCAGTCTAGATGAGATGTCACGTCTAACTGTTGGCAGGATCAAAGCAATTATGCATAGCACCACTCTGCCCCTAAGTATCCTTCACTCGTATTTATTGGGTTGTACTCAGACTCCTGGGAAAACCAGTGAATTACTCCCGCCACATTTTTGTTTGACCCTGGCCTGAGCTTTTACTTCTTCATCTGGATTTGTAGCAAAGCTATTCTAATATCACAGGCTTACACCCAAATCTTATTTTCATTGTTGCTCCAACTTTAATCTACACTTTCATTTTAGGGTTTGTTTTCTTAAATGTACTTCCGACTTTTCTGCTTGACCTAATCTAGCCAGATTGGACAGGTCTTCTGTTAAAGTCCTTGTACGTCTTATGTCTTGACTTTACTAACTTTGTGAACCCCAGGAAATTGATTTCAAGATTTTTGTTGTCTCATTCAACTTTCTCCAAAAAATTGGCTCACCATATCTGGGAAATATTCCCCAGCTTATGGTATCTTGATTCCTTACCCATATCTTCTGTCTGCTCAACTATATCACTGGAATCATTTCCCTCACCTCAAAATCCTTCTGTTCCCATTGAGCGTCTGCCCCTAGCTTCAGTCAAGCTCTGTGATGTTCTTTTATGGTTAAATCATAGAATTATAATGGTATCAGCATAGAAGCACACCATACAGCCTGTCATGTCCATTTTAACATTCTGCAATAAAAAGCTGTTCACACATTCACACCCTTTTCCCAAAGCTTGTAAATGTTCTGTCTTTGAGATGCTTATCCAGCTCCCTTTTGAAAACCACAATTTACTCTGCTCCCACCATACTCCTAATGTATTCCAGTTCCTAATCACTCCTCTGCATAAGTAAATATTTTCTTATGTCACTATTTGATCTTCTGTTTCCTGCTTCAGTATGGTTCCTGACGTTTCTGGCAACAAGAACAGTTATATCTAGACTAGCGATGATATTGAGCACCACTAAACATAATCTGAATTGTGCCACTGACAGCTGAAAATTTTGAGGATTTTGTTGTGTCCAGATTTTGTCAAAAATTTTGTTTTGTGTTTATGTAATCCATCCAGAATTGCGAGGGATCGTATGTACCTGTGTAATTAAAAGTATTGAATCATGCATAAACAAAATGAATTGGGAGAAATGTTCAGTGTCTTTGAAATAAAGCATTGCTTATGTGTGAATGAAAATGAGTAAAAGAAGGCATATTATATACAACACCCATGAGCTTTATTCTTCCTTCAACTTAATTCTGATCAGTCAGACCGTGCAACCATCACCTCACCTCCAAGCATTTTTTCACCTTCTCCAACTCTGTTAGATAGTCCAATCATGTTCTACTCCAGGAGGATAGTTTTTGAAGGATGGAACTAGAATCAATATTCTGTCACTTTTATTTAGCATAAAACATTGTAAACAAATGCATGACCCAACAAACACAGTTAGCCTGTGCCTGTGGGACGTTGGAATGAATTTCTAGTCAATACCAATTAGTCTGCATATTATTAAACATTAATATATATTCTATTAATATACAGTTGACACTAATTCATCAGAGACATGGATATTCATTCTAACTTCTGTGTTTATGCTGATTACAAACAGATCTATCACTTGACCAAATTTCCGTACTTGCAAGCACTTCAATGTTTAGATTTCTTGTATGATGTTTTCATGGTGTGCATCGAGGAAATCAGAGTCATTGTTTTTGCCATCTCTCATCATCACCACTTTCCACGGATTTAGTTTCTTTCACATTCTCTCGTTGAAATGCTGCCTTTCCTTGGCAGTTTGCACTTGTGCCCTCATGTTACCCAACTCTATTCTGTCACTGTCTCTCAATCCTCACCACTGTCTCTGAACAAACACATTGCTTGACCATTGTCCAGAACTGAATGAGCTTAAAATTTCTCCAACCAAATATCAGATGGATTGAAGCTATTGTCTTTGAACACTCCCTAAAAGCTTTATGCCTCCCAAACTTTTTTCTGATGTGACACCATTTTAATGGCTCAGACTTTGAGACGCCAAAGTGAAAGTGAGGAAAGGTGGTGTGAGTGGTTGACCAGTAGGTGCAGCAGGGCTGGTGAGAAACACTTTTTATGGGCTCTTATTACTATGAACAGATATATGCTAATTTGGCATAGTGAATTCTTAGAGATAGCATTGTTGCCTGATAGTTTGCTTATTTGTTCTTTGGAGTCATCTTCCCAAAAGGTCATGGACCTCAACTTGTCTGTCCTTTTGCTGCTCTTTTACATTCCAATGGACTGCCTGTAGTTGATCTGTCATTCATTTTATCCTCTGTGTCTCTCTGCGGCGTTTTCTGTCAATCTCTGAATGATGTCTGTCATCTGCTGTAATGACATGATCAAAATATTGTAAGTTTCTGTTTTTGTGTGTTAATTTTCTCTTAACCATTTTCTAGTGTTTAGTCATGAGCCTTTGTTTGTGTAGGGTATGTGGAACATCCTCCTCCATGTCCACATCTTGAATAAATTCATCTTATCAAGAGACTCTTTGTTGTTTGTAATCCGTCATTTGTTCATGTTAGCTATGGAAAACTCAATGCAGATTCTCTGAGCTTTGTGCCCAGAAATCATCAAATTTAGGCTGCATCTTATTAACCTAATAAAAGAGTGAAAAGTGTACAGAGATAGTAGGACCTGCCGATGCTGGAGAATCTGAGATAACAAGGTGTAGAGCTGGATGAACACAGCAAGCCAAGCAGCATCAGAGGAGCAGGAAAGCTGGCGTTTCGGGTCTGGACCCTTCTTCAGAAATGGGGGAGGGGAAGGGGATTCTGAAATAGAGATGGGGGGGAGGCGGGTGGAAGATGGATAAAGGAACAGATGAGTGGAGAGGAGACAGGTCCCTTTTATTTACCCTTCCAGAACGCTTCAAAAATAATTTAGTTTGGCATCTTTGATCATGATTCTATTATTGTTTCCCCTCGTGTCATCTTTTTTCCTTATTGTATGCTAAGAACCTTTCTTTGCTGTCTTAATTGTACCATAATTTTCCTCTCTTTCACTTTCAGCATGGATGTCTGCTAATTCACTACAAAACTGTAACTATTATTTTTCTTCACAGGGTGCTCGTCTAAAACCCCATCTTATTGTGGTTGGTGCTGCTACAGTAAGTTAACTTTCTTTAAATTAAGGTTGGACTATTTTGCAGAGTTCCTCACCAGGTTTGCATTTCAAACAAATGTTTGTTTGCTTATAGTGGTCGATTAAGATACATAATGGGAGTATGGAAGCTCTCAGCCAGTACAAAACCAATCTTACACTAATTACACCTCTTCTGCAGAAGTTAGCAGAAACTAATGACATCTATTGGGTCCTTCAAGGTAAAGCTATCCTTACCATATTTTTTTAAATTATTCTAAGCTTTCTACTTTCTGTAGATTCTGAGATTTTAATTTGACTTGTGAAGTCACTTATTTTTTTTTAGATCCAGTATATGAAGATTTGCTGAGTGAGAACAGAAAGATGATCACTAATCAGAGGATTGGTTTATACAATGATGTGACTTTAAGCATTTTGAACAGCAGTACCGGAAGCATGGCAGCCAAGGTCAAGATCCTCAGAGCTTCCAAATTAATTGCAGAAGAAACCATTGCAGGATCTTTAGATGGCTTGCATTTACCTGAAACCACTAGAGATATAGTAGGTATCTTTGAAACAATAATAATAAATGCATGCAAATGTTACCACAACTTGCACTTAGATGAAAACGCTATACACCACTGGTTTTGGCTGCCCCTTCGCACATTTAATATAATGAAAATATAATGAATAAATTGTGAGCAAATTCAGTTTTGAATAGATTATTTGGGTATGGCTACTCCAAATCTGTTGGTCAGTTGGAGGGAGAACAGATATTTCTTAAACGAGAATAATTTTTTTTCTAAATAAAAAGGAAATCATCCACAATAACGTTTTGAAATATAAATGGTAGTCAGTCATCTAGCTGAGGAATGTCATCTGTATTCAAATGTGATGTTGCTTATTGTTCTGATGAACGACTGCAGCCCTTCAAATATTAACTCTGTTTCACACTCTGCATATGTCACCAGACCTGTAGTTTCCAGCATTGTCCATTTTTCAGTTTGGATGAAGCAATTGTTGGGCGAAATTGCCGTGTTAGTATAGACTAAAGAGAGGGAAGGAAGGGAAAAATTGTGGACCTGAAGAAGATGGACAAATCTGAGCCAGAATGAAGTTTGGGAGATTGCAAGTTTTAACTATATGTTGGGAGTTGGTCTTAAAGTATGGCAGGAGATTATGACCATTCGTAGCAGATTAGCCTTAAAGAAAAGGCTTGTGTCTTTTGTAGTCTACGACAAAACTGGAAACATACTTGCCCAGTGGATCAAGCAGTTTTCAAAACCCTCATCTGAGTCCTGAGAAGTTCAACCTGTAGTGATTTTTAAAGTAACTGATGTGCTAACCTGCTTCTTGGGCAGACCATTGGTACATTTCAGTTCTGAATTCTCTCCAACCTCATGCTTGAATGCCTGGATGGTTATGGAGGGGGTGTTGATGTTCAGCATTTGTGATAATTCAGGAACTGAAGCAGTCTATATCCAAATGCAGCAAGACCTGAACAATAGCCAGGTTTGGGCAGAAAAATAGCAAGTAACATTTTGTGCTATAAAAATGCGTCTCCAATAACAGACAATCTAAACACCACCCCATGACATTCAATGGCATTACCATCACTGTATGCACCACTGTCAACCTCCAGGATGTTGACATTGTCCAGAAACTCAACTGGATTAACCATGTAAATACAGCGGCTCTAATAGGCTAAGAATACTGAGGTGATTGACTCAGCAACTGATCCCCAAAGCTTGCCTACCATCTACAAGGCACAATTCAGGTGTGTGATGAAATACTCCCCACTTGCCTGGAAGGGTGCAGCTTCAGCAACACTAAAGAAGTTTATACTTTACAAGAGAAAGCAGTACACTTGATTGCCACAACATCCAGGGGCATTCATTCTGTCCACCACTGACACCCAGTAGTAGCAATGTGTACCATTACTAAATGCACCAGTGATCCTTAGGCATCACCTTCCAAACTAGTGACTGTTACCATCTGGACGGACAAGCACAGCAGACAACTAGATGGTGGTCATCCCGCAATATCCCCTCCAAGCCACTCCTCATCCTGTTTTGGAAATGGATCACTGTTACTTAGGTGTCACTGGGACAAAATCCTGGAATTCTTTGCATAACTGCCGACAACACACAGACTCCAGTAGCTGAAGAAGACAGTTTACCGCCACCATCTCAAGGCCAAGTAGAAATGGGCAACAAATATTGGCTCAGTCAGTGACACGCTCACTGCGAATTAATATTTAAAAAAAGGTAGTTTTACTGAGTGGTGGCGCAAGATATTCACGCCTATAAATATTGACCAAGCAGCTCAGAGATATCTTGCATATCCTGCACTCTGCCCTCACATCCCCTCCCCCCCCCCCAAAAAAAACAGAACCCCCCCTGTCCCCAGAATATCACCCCACCACCCTCCGCATCCAACGTATCGTTCTCCACCATTTCGCCACCTAAAATCTGACCCCACAACCAAAGAGATATTTCCCTCCCCACCCCTATCTGCCTTTCATAGGGACTGCTGTCTCCGTGACTCCCTCATCTGCTCCAACTCTCCACTAACCCCACCAACCCTGGCACCTGTCCCTGCAATTGCAGGAAGAGCTACACCTGCTCCTGCTCCTACACCTCCCCCATTACCTCCATTCAAGGCACAAAACAAACCTTCCGTATCAGACAGGGGTTCACCTGTACATCTGTCAGCTTGGTCCTCTGTATCCCAATGTGGCCTCCTCTACATCGGTGAGACCAAGCATAGACTTGGAGACCGTTTTGTAAAGCATCTGCGCTCTGTACGCGACAAACAACAACACCTTCCGGGTGCCAACCATTTTAACTCCTCCTCCTCCTCCTCCTTCCTCCTCCCACCCCCACTCCCTGGGTGACATGTCCATCCTGGGCCGCCTCCAGTGTCACAATGACACCACCGGAAACTGGAGAGGCAGCACCTCATATTCCACCTCGGGAGCTTACAGCCTGCTGGCCTAAACATGGAGTTCGCCAGTTTTAAAATCTGCCCAACCCTCCCCCCCTCATTCTCATGCCCAACCCTCCTCTTTATTTATTTCAGAGCTCCTTCTCTCTCCCCATTTCTGAGGAAGGGTCCCGATCAAAACATCAACTTTCCTGCTCCACTGCTGTTTGGCCTGCTGCATTCCTCCAGCTCCATACTGTGTTATCTTTGACCAAGCAGTTGTTGTTAATGGTGGATAGGCTGTTGATCTTTGAGATAAGGAGCTGTTAAGAGTTCCGGTTTGTAAATGTTTATGTTTTAGGCTGTACTTAACTCCATGCAAGGATGGAGTTGAGAATTTAGAAGACAGTCTAGATAGAAATAGACATTTGCTCCGATATAAGGCCCATGTAAGTCATGTTCCCTTGGAGATGGATTTTGAAAGGGGAACAAGCCATTGCGATATCAGAGATTTTCAGATATCTCTGAATCTCTCCACCAGAAACTTCCACAAGAATCTGGAGAAATAGCTGCCTCTACCTTTTTTGCTGTCCTGTACATGAAGCAGAGAAAATGATGGCCCTAATAAAAACCGAAAGAACTGCAAATGTTGTAAATCAGGATCCAAGGCAGAAGTTGCTGGAAAAGCTCAGCAGGTCTGGCACCACCTGTGAAGAAAAATCAGTTAATGTTTTTTGAGTCTGATGACCCTTCCTCAGGACTGATGGTAGCTCGGAAATTGTTAATTTATATGTAGAAGATAGAGTGGGGGTTTGGGGTAAGAGTAAATGATGGGTGGGGATAGAGCCCAAAGAGAGAAGAACAGATGGACAGACAAAGGACTTGGTAACAATCTGGCTAGGAAGGTGAATAACTGTTAATGGAGACTGTTTGTTTGTGGCTAACAGCAGGCTATGTAATAACCAGGCCTGGTATGTGGGTCGGGGGCTAGGACATGGGACAGTTCAGGCCCGAAAATTATTGAACTTAATATTGAGTCTGGAGGGCTGGAGAGTCCCCAAGTGGAAAATGAGGTATTGTTCTTCCAGCTTTCACTGAGCTTTGCTAGAACACTGCAGTAAGCCTGAACAGATGTTGGCCAGGGAATAGGGTGGTGTGTTAAAATGGCAGGCAACTGGAAGCTCGGTCTTTTCTGCGAAGCAGTCACCCAGTCTATGCTTTGTTCCCCAATGTAGAGAAGATCACATTGTGAGCAGCGAATGCAGTAGACTAGATTGTGGGAAGTGCAAATGAAGTGCTACTTCACCTGGAAGGTATGTTTGGGCCCTTGGATACTGGGGAGGGAGGAGGTAAATGAGCAGGTGTTACACCTTTGGTGGTTGCAGGGAAAGGTGCCGTGGGGCTGTGGAGGGGGTGTTGGGACTAAAGGAAGAGTGGATCAGGGTGTCCTGGAGGGAATGGCAGACCAGGGAGGGGAAGGGAATAAGTGTCTGGTGGTGGCATCTCGCTCGAGATGGCGGAAATGATGGCTGATGATCTTCTGGATGTGGATGCTGGTGGGGTGGTAGGTAAGGACAAGGGGAACCCTATTGTTGTTGCAGGAGGGAAGAGAGTGGGTGGGGGCGCAAGTGCAGAAGATAGATCGGATCTGGTTGAAGGCCCTGCCGACAACAGTGCTGGGGAATTGTCAGTTGAGGAAGAAAGTGGACATTTCAGGGGTGGCCCTTCTGGTTACCATGCAAAATGTGGTTAAGAACCTATGCTCAGATTGAAGAGACTAAGTTCGTAAGGATTTCATCAAGATTGGTTGTTCACCTAGCTTGGTTAGAGGTAGGAGTCTCTGATTCTTCCCACACCATGAAAGTCGCTTTAAGGGTAAAATGTTAGTTTTCTTCTTTCTCAACCCAATAACTATCAGGAACTGAGATTTCATTTTCACACTGGTCCTGGAACATTATTGTTCACGATGTACAGTGAAAACCTTAACCAAAAAAGAGCATCTCCTATTAGAGTTAAATAGGGTTTTTTGTTTTGTTTTGGAGTCCAGCATCATTATTGCCTATTGAATAGTGTTTTAGACTATGTTGTTTTTAGTTTGCTTGTACTGTTAACATCTTAACTTGAAATCTTGTGTGATCCTTCCAATCACCCACTAGAAATTCTAATATCTTTTTGCAAACTATCGGTCTCTAGACAATCACAACATCTATTACAAGAAAATATATCAAAGACCTTTGGAAAGTCCAGATAAATTTCACCCTGTATTTACCACTTCCTGTCCATTACCTCCGGAGTATTCAATCAGTTTTGTTGAAGCAGAATTTTCCCTTTTAAAATCCATGTTTTATTCATGATTGCATTTTTCCTTTCAAGATATTATTCCATTCCCTTCTTTATTTAGAATTTCATTATTTTTGCTACCTTAAGGTACTGTGTCACCATTCTTGGTATGGGAATTATGCCAGCTATCTGCTGGTTCTCTGGCATAATAAGCACGACTTTTTCTAATTCAGTAAAAAGTAGTAATGCCTCTTTCTATTCCCTGGAATCTTTTAAAGTATGTAGATGCAGCCTGCCTACATGAAAAACTCTATCCTGTGAGTTTTTAATTTGGTTAATGCATCCCCTTTTAATTTTCAGTATACTTAGCTGATTACTCATCTCACCATTCAATGTCAAGTCTGTCTGTTATCTCCCTAGTAACTACCAAAGGTACATATTATTTAATAATTCTGCTATCTCTTGCTCACTGCCTCTAGTTTTGCTCTTCTTTCCTCTTTAATAATCCTCTTCCATTACATCATCTTAGCTATAATATGCTCTTCTCTTCACTTTACTTAACATACACTTCTTTCCTAATCCCTATATTAAATGTTTTCCATTGTTGTTCTGTGTTGTTTGCTACCATAGTTGCCCATTCTATTTTATCAAATTATGTTCCTATTCCTTAAAAGTAGCTCTTCTGTGGTCTATTAATCTGGTTTTCATCATACTTGTCCTTCTATATCATAAGTTGTTTTTTTTTGTGGTCACTATAGCCCACAAGTTCCCTCCATGTAATTCTTCACCTGCTCAGATTCATTCTCCATTATTAGATCTAATGGTGAATTATTGTTCTGAGGGGAGAAAATAGTCCTGTATACATTGTAGATATTTGATTCTCTTATCCGCTTCACCTGCCTCTGAGTATCCTCTGTGATTATCCTATTTCTTTTACTCATGCCTTAATTTGTCTACATATTTCTTTTTATACGTCCTTTTACTATTAAGTGGTCTGTAGACTGAGCCTGTTAGAGTAATGGATTCTAGTTCTTATATTTTCTGTTTCTGTCTTGCTAATAGCTGTGTCCCTTTATCTACTGCTATTGTTATCGCCAATAAGAATAGCTAATCTACCTCCCATTTATGCCTTCTAAGTACATTGTACCTTGCAATGTCGAATTCCTTGGCTTGATGTTTCTATCACCATGAGCTAGGGTTTCCACTTAGGTCTGTTGATGTTCTCAAGTCACTAATTAATGCCCACGAAAGGGCCTTATTCCCAAAGCTGCTGGTATTTACTCACGGCATGGGGAAACCCAGACCTTGCAGAAAGCCCAGCAGCTTTAGCTGCATTAGCTGGTTTCAGTTAAAGGAGGGTGATCTGTTTTGGGGACCCCATGTCTATCCAAGCAATTGTACCAATGGACTTCTACCTGACATCCATCAAACCTTTACTGAAACCCCAACCATGGATGTGGCTGGGTCCTTGATGTCGTGGGTGTCAACAAACACATATTCTGCAATCCAGGCAACTTTGTCAAACATGCTCTGCTGTATCATAATCTTGCTTCATTTATTTATCTAGTTGAAGTCTCTATTCAATGTTTTGTAATTATTATCAAGTAACTTAATTAGTTTTATTTTAAAACAGCACTTGTACTTCCCTGCTTTGTGTTTATACTAATTTAGTTTCGAGAGGGGAGAAAAAAATTAAAGGTCACCTACCTGCTTGAAGAAGTTAGTTTGTCTGGATTTCATCCCTCAGTTCTTATTTTTCTCAAACCAATCCATATTTTGTAGAAGACCAAAGCAGCACCCTTTCTCTCACTCTGACTCATTCCGTTACTCCCAAATTCCCTGATTTAAGAAAATACCCTGTTGGAGTATACTCTGTCAAGCTGGATTTCGTATATAAGAAAAAACCTTAGTTATAACAAATATCCCAAAATCTGAACTGTTGGAGAAACTATGCGTGTCTGACAGCATGTATGGAAAGAAACAGTTAACATTTCAAGTCCAACCTGTTCTTCAGAAGAGTCATATTGGACTCAACATTAATTTTGTTTCTCTCGTCACAGGTGTATCCGACCTGTTGAATTTCTCTATCAATTGTTTTCATATCTCCAAAATCCACAATACTTTGCTTTTATTCCACAAAGCTGAGACAGTTGCGAACGATCATATAATTGGCTATAGCCAATCACCAATTCTTCAGATACTGCTGGCAGGGAGCTCATTTACTAGTGGCATAGCAAAAATAACTTTGAACGACCTGCTGCCAGTTTGCAGTTCTTCTGGGTTCAACTAGGGGTGGGGACTAAAAATGGTCAGGTTTCATTTGATACCAATCCGATTTCAATCTGTCAGAATTGTTAGCTTTCTTTTCAGATTCTTGAGATTCAGTTTTAATGTTTATAATCATTTGAATCTGCTGTACTGCACTGATACTTGTTTTTTTAAAAAAAAGCTGTTAATGAATCCAGTTTGCAGTTTACATCCAAAGTGAGATAATCTAATGATAGCTTATTTTGAAAATGAGAAAGGGAGTTCTGTTTATTATAGTAACAAAGATTTCTGGTTATCATTTGGTAGAGTGTACCACAATGCTATTCAGAGATGAAAGCATCATTTGCAAGAGTAATTTTTTTTTACCAGAAATGAAGGCATTATCTAATGAACTATTAAAAAGTATGAGACTTAACAACTAATTCATCTGCTTTTTGATGTTTGGTCTGAGCAAATTTTGCTGCGTTGTGGCTTAAAGCTTTTCATAATCTTAGACGTTATAAGTATCAAGTTTGTGCTCATCCTATACGCTATCAAGGGATTTTAAATACTAAGAGAAACGAGCTTGTGGATAGCACAGGAAGATGCAGTTGAGACAGAAGTTCTGCCATGATCTTAATTAATGAAGTACGAAACACCTACTCCACTTCTTATTTCTTAAGCTATTTTTAATCAAAATGGATATCTAATGCGCGGAGTATTTTGAAAATTTAAAGGTATTCAACATTGATTTTTGGTTTTAAATATTCTGTTAAAATGTTCAATCTTTTTTTTTCCACAGAATGCTATGATTCTCTTGAATTCCTACTGCAACAGGATTGTGAAGCCCATTGATGGTTCATGCTGTCTTCCCCAGTCTCCCCTTTCGCTAATTCAAAAACTGACTGGCTGCTTTTTCATCATTTGTGTTATAAGCTGCATATTTGTTACTTACTTCTGTCATAATTGGCGGAAGAATAAGCCTAGTACTGATGTTGAGAGTGGAGAAGAGAAGAAACCTGCTACTGCTTCACTGTCCAATCCTGAAAAACTACTGTTGTCCCTTTCCAAATTGGGCCTAATCATGGGCTATTTCTATCTTTGTGATAGAGCTGACCTGTTCATGAAAGAGCAAAAATATTATACGCATTCAACGTTCTTCATCCCACTGGTATATATTATTGTACTGGGAGTTTTCTATTATGATAATACAAAAGAGGTACGGTTTAAACTCTTGCATTACTGTCATTCTCAACATATTTGGAATGGTAACATTTTGCCATTTATAACAGATTTCTGTCATTTAGTTTGAAATGGCGTTAGTTTATTTACGCAGCCTCCTAATGCTACTTTATATAATATGAACCTTGCAGAAATAATTGTATAAAATATCAAAAATGTATTCTCCGACCTGTATGGTGTTTTTCTTTTCCTAAAATTTGAACATCAGCATTCATTTTGGAATATTGTTCAGTTTCTAAAATTACTGCTTGGATCTGAAGTCTGAATTGTATAGTCAGTATGATGGGTTCATTCATCTATTGGTTCTCCTAAGTCCTAAAACCAACGATTTTACAAAAGACATTGCTTTTGTAGGAGCTTCTGCCATCTTTACATTGCACATTTTTGTGGCACTGTTGTGACCCAGTGCATGGTTACATATAGGTTTCTGTTTGTGGGTAAGGGATAATCATAGAGATCTATAGCTCAGAGAAAGGCCTTTTGGCCCATCATATCTATGTGAGTCTTAAACAGCCACTTAGCTATTCCATTTCCGTTTTCCAACACTTGGCCAATAACCTTGCATGTCTTGGCATCACAGGTGCATATCTAAATACATCTTAGCATTGCAAGTGTACTTCTAAATTCAACTTATATGTTACAAGGGTTTCCTTTTTCCTACAGGCAGTGAATTCCAGATTCCCACCTCCCTGTCTTCCTCACGCCTCTTCTATATCTAAAACTCCTTCATCTGAATCAATGCTGCAGTCATTAATCCCTCCATCAAAGGGAAAAGGTTTTTCCTATCTATGTTCCCTGTAATTTTATGCTTCTCAATCATGTCCTGTCTCGATCTCCTCTGCTGTAAGAAACATGATCCCAGTCTGTCCAATCTATCTCCATAACTGAAACTCTCCAGCCCAAGTAATATCCTGGTAAATCTCCTCTGCACACTCTCCAGTGCTACCACATCCCTTCTATAATGTGGATTCCAGAACTGCATGCAGTACTCTAGCTGTGACTTAACGGTTTTGTACAGTTCCAGCATAACCTCCCTGCTCTTAAACTCTGTGCCTCAGCTAATAAAGACAAGAATCCCATGTACATTCTTAACCACTTTAACCACTTGCCCTCATACCTTAAGGGACCTGTGTGCATGCATACCAAGGTTGCTCTGATTCTCAGTGCTTCCCAGGGTCCTTCCATTCGTCATGTGTTCTCTTGTTTGTCCTGCTCAAGGGCATCATCTCTCTCTGGATTGAATTCTGTTTCTTTGCCAATCAATCTATCTGACCAGAAATCTAAGTAATCAGATAAGTAATATCCTGCAATCTGACGCTTTCCTTCTCATTACTTAACACCCACCATTTTTTTTTGTATCCACTGTGACCTTACTGATCAACCATCCTACATTCACATCTGAATCATAAATACTAACCCACTGCACAAAAAAGGATGCTCTTGTATACTCCTACAGCAAGTAAACTATTTGTAATGGGAGGAGTGTTCTGATTTGATGGAAATTAAGCATTGACTTTTTTTTTTGAAGCAATTCTTTTAGCCTTTGTCTTTTATAAGCCAGAGCAGTTTACACACTTGACTAACAGCAGATAGAAATTGATAAGTTGACTATACAGGCATGTTTATGGCAGTTTACTTTTGTTCTTATTAGACAACTATGCTGAACCGAGAGCAGACAGATGAATGGAAGGGATGGATGCAGCTAATTATACTAATATATCATATATCAGGAGCAAGTACTGTAAGTGTCACTTCTTACACGTTCAAAGAGTGCTCAAATTGAATTTTGTAATTTTATGCTCATTGTCAGCATTCATTTATTTTGCTATAAAATGCTTGTGCAATATTTTGAAGTTTACCTGACACCACCATGAAAATTATAATCTAGTAATTCATCTTTCCATTTTTTAGTTTTTACCTGTATACATGCATGTTCGTGTTCTTGTGGCAGCATACCTGTTCCAAACAGGTTATGGACATTTTTCTTTCTTTTGGAAAAGCGGGGAATACGGAATCTCTCGCATTTGTCAGGTATGCAATCTTTGTATATTTTTTACATTGCTTACTGTGGAAACAGTTTGTGTTTACCACCTTTGTGGATAAAAATGAGCGGTAGAGCAAAAATTAATTTTGCTTTGAATTTAAAAGAATGTATAACTCATGTCAGTTTAACGCTTTGCTGGGAGACCTTCCATAGTTTGAAAAAAAGGTATCTCGCACTTATTTGCATCTTGTTGGAGGTTTTAGTTTGGAGAAGAGAAACTAACCTCAACTAATAACTTTAGAGCTAGAATGTTTGAAGCCCAAATTGAAGATCTTAATTTGAAACAACTGAATATATGGACTTTGACAAAAGTGTTAATCTTAGTTGGCTCATCTGGGAAGAGATGCCTTCTCACTACTGCAGGATATTTGTTTGTTTGCTCGTTCATTACACAGGGCCATTAGCTTCTGTAGAGGGAAATCACAGGCTCAGCACTGCATTTATAAACTTAGCTTCCCTGTTTTCCCTTTAAAAGTGGAGCTGGAAGAGAGCAGATATTTCATGAAAATATGTCTCCAAGTATTTAAAAAAAAAAAGGGAAACGTTGAGATTTATGTTTGTTATTCCCAACTGCCTACATTTACAATAGAGCATTTTTCATGTTGAAATTGTACGCAAGTTAAGGTTGGCTACTATTAACATTCTGCTAGAAAATGTGACCTGATTTGTCAATTATCCTTTGCAGATATTATTTCGTCTGAATTTCTTGGTGGTGGTGCTGTGCCTTGTAATGGATCGACCATATCAGTTCTATTATTTTGTCCCTTTAGTAACATTTTGGTTCATGGTCATTTATGTCACACTAGGCATTTGGCCACAGACTGGCAAAAAAGAAGAAAACGGTATAGTACTTGGTTTATGTCAGCAAATAGAAACATCCTAAAAGTGTGTACAGGTATTTCTCCTATAACGCAATAGTTGCGTTTTTGTGTAACCTCGCACTACAAAAAATTGTGCTATAGAAAATCGCTGTAGGAAATCGCTATAAAAATTCGTTATACCTGTACAGCAGAATGTTTGTTTTATCCAAACAGGATCTACTGTTCATCAATCACATTACAGCCAATTTGCATTAACAAAATATGCATTAACAAAATATGCATCATAGCAGAACTACCTGTAATGATATTTGATAAAAGTAATAATCCAAAGGCTATTTATGCTAACTTGATGGTTTATTTAATTGGAAAGCAAGAAGCTAGAGCACTCTGCCACTGGTGGATACAAAATGGCCCAGACGTTCAAATAGTCGTGTAATCGTTAAAGCAGCATAGACTGGAATGGCATGTCAGGTCCATGTGGAATTCCTGATACAGCTGAATCTGAAGGAATTGCTCAGTAAATTTGAAAAGTCAGACTTGCTTAATAGCTAGTCAGAAAAGGTGAGAGGATTAAAAACCTACAGCCATTGTGGGTAAATATTAAACTAAACCCCTGACACTCGCTGCCCAGTTGAATGACAGAGAATGGTGGGAATCTGGAACTCACTGCCTGGAAGGGTGTTAGAGGTAGAAGCCCTCAATGTTTTAAGAGGTATTTAGATGTGCACTTATGATGCTAAAACATAGGAGGCCATGGACAAGTGCTGGAAATGGGATTAGAATAGTAGGTGGTTCATTTAGATTATCTCTCCTATAGATCTCTATTACTCTATAACCCTATCTGCTTGCCAGTCTTGACACCCCTCCTCTTCCTGGCCCTATACAATCTCTCAATTCATGGGACTTAATAATCCCTGTCCCCACAAACCTTTCATATTTAGCCTTTCACAGTAGTTTTCAGAGAGTCTGGAAATATAAACTACAGATGCAACAGTCAGTGCTGTAAAGGGGGGCATGGTTTCTGCAATATTCATTACTGCTGGATTCAAGGATTACAGGAGATCCCTATCCAGCGTTTTCCAGTGCAGAAGTCACCTTAAAGGTAATTCAATGAGGCTGTCAAATAAGGTTCTGACCCTGGTCGGAATACCTGAGCTAATGTAACTAGATGGCTACGTTTTCTTCAAGTAACATTAAAGAACACCACATATTCTGAATTTGAAAATGAATATCTGTGCAATTTGAAACAACAGATATTTGAGCTTTCTAAAATAAAATAACAATAGTATTGTGCTCGTTGGGGAAGATTATTTAATGGCCCATATTATTTTATAAAATGTTTCTAATGCAGTGCAAAGTAAATGCTCAGATTTATTTTCATGTTAGATAGTTGCATACAATTATATTAAGCACCATGTATTGGTATGTTCATGGATTAATTTTAGCATTTAGTATATGTTTTCACAGTCCTTTTTATAGTTTTACAGTAATCTGTTTATTCATGTAGAATTTCAATGTTTTATTTCAGGTTCTTGCTCTCCCCACTGGGCAGTGGTGTTCAAACTGATTGGTTTGTTTTTATGCATATGTCTACTTGCAACTTCCCAGGTTAGTGTTTGTGTTCTTTGAGAAAATTATGAAAAGGAAAAGGTTACTGCTTTCCTTTCCTGATAGAGTAGAAGCAATTAAGTGAGTTATTTTGAGATGTGATCTTACTTGATCTGTTGCCAGACTTCATGCACTTATTTGCATTTTCAACTTTAGAAAAATATTGGTGAGCTGTTGAATTTCATGAAATTTCATGGAAGTTTTCTTTTCAAATAGCAGGCATGAAATTCAGGCAGCATGGTAGCTCAGTGGTTAATCCTGCTGCCTCAAGCGCCAGGGACCCGGGTTCAATTGTAGCCTCAGGCGATTGACTGTGTGGAGTTTGCACATCCTCTCCATGTTTTGTGTGGGTTTCTGCCAGGTGCTATGGTTTCCTTCCACAGTCCAACGAAGTGCAGGTAAGGTGGATTGGCCATACTAAATTGTCCATAGTGTCCAGGGATATGCAGGTTAGGTGGGTTAGCTGGGGAGAAATACAGAGTTATGGGGATAGCGTAGGGAATGAGTCCTGGGTGTGATGCTGTACAGAGAGTCACTGTGGACATGTTAGGCCAAATGGCCTGTTTCCACATTGTACAGATTCTTCTTCTAACTTTGAGATTATCATTTAAAACTTCTAAAATGTTCAGGTCAGAGCAAAAGCACTTTTCCAGAACTAGGCTTTTGTTTTGATAAGTGAAATTTAATTCTTCAATCAGAGTTTGACACGTTGAATTTGATTTAAATTTCTAATTGTACTTCAGAAATCATTATAATCTTTCAGTGCAAACAATCATTACACTTTTCCAGATAACTTCAGATTCTGAAGATTCCTGGTAGCTGAAATAGATAATTCCTAAAAATTGCCTTGGACATCTTGGTAAAAATTGACCTGTGCCACATTTCAGGCAGCACGTTACATACAATTTAAAGGAGCAGAAATATAAGGCCAGCCAACATGGCCGACACTGTTCATTGGCTGTATGTATCAAGGCATCCTGCAACTCATAATTTCAAGGAATTTGTTACAAAATGTGATGAGAATTGTTTCAAAACTGACCATGTACCAGAGAGCGTACCAAAGTTTTCTGACAATGCACTGGAGGTCTTCCTAAAAGTTGAGGGGAGAGGCATCCTGTATCTGTGAGGGTGAGAGTTCTTGGTTATTCAGTCATGGGCTTGAGGCAGTAAGAAGTCACAGCAGAAGTCAATCTCAGGGCTATTGATCCAAGAACGTGAATGTAATGAGAGAAGATGTTTAAGGGTTTTACATCATTTATCATGATCAGTAAGTTCAATCTTCACAAAGCTATCTTACCAGCTACACAAATAGCCTCACTCATTACTCAATGCACTATAACCTCATCACCCAACAATTTCCCTAAATCAGTACTTAACCATTGATGGGCAAATGCACCTCATTGATTTCCACACTTCAAACTGTTGTATACCCGGATTTCATTGCATTTCAGCCATAGTAGCAGCAACATCTAAATATTTTGCAAGACTCTTTCTGGCAAATTTATATCGTTTGTAGAAAAAAAAATGGGACACACACAAAAAGGTAGCAGCATCTAAGAACTGGAGGAGTGTAAGTGCACATTCAATTTTAGCACTCACGGAGAAGACCATATTGGTCATATGTCCCTGAGATAGTCACTGCTAACACAGGAAGGATTGATGTTGGAAACATCCTGCATATCTCTATGTTCCTCTACATAGTTTCTATGACTTGACAATGCACACAGTTTGTTCACTGATATATTGCATCTCTTTGTATGGAGTAGCAGTGACGTTTACATGTGATGAGAGTCTGCATGTATCTACCAGAACAGGAGGAAGGGTAGAAAGTATGTCTGTTTTTCAGCAGGCAGGATTGCATATTATTTCTAATGCACTGGAATCTATTTGAGAACTTCAGTGGACTAGACTACAGAAGATATATATTAAAAACAAGTTCCGCATATATTCAAGCCTACAAGAAAGCTTGTGCATAGCATCAAGGAGTACAGAGGAGTCCAGCAAGACCTTGACGAAGGGCTTGAAGTTCATTATTTTCCTGTAAGGAATTAGGTGGTCATCTCTATCAGTATACCTGTGGAATTCATCATCTTGCCATATCTGATGACTGAATATCGCAACTTCCATTACAGTGCAAGTAGCTCCTGACAAAATTTTTGAATTGCATTGAAGGCTTAGAACTGCTGCACTTGTGGTGCTGGGTAGCAATAACAGTTTGTATTTAGGTAGCACTTTTAAAATAAACCTTGCAAGGTGCTTCACAAAAATATTGTAACAAATTGAAAGCATAAGAACAAGGATATATCAGGGCTGTAGATCAGGATGAATTAGGAGAGTCCCGAAGTCTTGGAGTGTTGTGGAGATGGGAGGCAATTACTGAGAGTGGGCGAAGGACATGGCTGATTTTAAAAATGGCAATAAAGAATTAAAGTCAGGCTGACTCTTGGTTACGCCACAATCAGCCTTGGCTTTAATTAGTGCAATCTAAAGCTGAGGCCTCAGCCCTGAACTGCTTGAGATTGAGCTCAAAGGCCATCTATATTCGTCTTAATTAATGATTAGCAGCCGCTGGTAAAACACCTCATAGAAATACTAGGATAAGCAAAGGCACGTGAAGATTGGGCAGTAAGGGAATGCACAGGTTGATTTAATTGATTTTTTTTTTGTATTCTGACATGAGTAAATTTATAAAATTGACATTTACATTTTGTATTGTAAAGAATATGAAAGCCAGTGAGTTTGGCATGGTTGGTGAATGGGAAGATGGATTTAATGGACCTGGTATCACTCACGAATACTGTGATTTAGAGTCTAGATAAAAAGGGATTGTGTGTTTTGTAGTCTTCCTCCTCTCTACTACTTTTCCATCCTATTTCTTAGGTTCCTGCTGCTGCTATAGCCTCTTGCCTGATAAATGCAGGTGCTGTTTCTGATTGCAATAGGTTAGGCAGTATGCTACAATAAATGTTGATACTTTCTCACCTGACTACTCCTTCAGAACAGTTCAGCCGTAGATTTAGTGTATGTGAATCTTGGCGGTGTACTTTATAGTTGCCCTTGTGACAGTGCAGTGTTCACTTTATACTTACAGAGCTGAGTTCCCAATGGAGTCATGATCCAGTTCATGAATGACAACCCTTGGTGTATAGCAGCTAGCCTTTGACTTACTGTGATGGTTCAAATGCACATGTAGCAGAGAACTGCCACAGTAGGAAGGAATCAGGATTCTTGCCCAGATAATAGGAATTCCCCTGCATGATGTGTTGACTGTGTCCAAGCACCAGTTGACTATTGAGATTTTTTTTGGTTCCGTTTGGTCCAGTTGGTAACCTTCTAACCTGAGTCAAATGGTTGCAGATTCAAATAACGAACATAATAGTTTGGTATCTTGTGCAGTACTGAAGAGATACTTCTGGATAAAATGTTTAGCTCCAACTGCTTTGCAGGTGGACATAAAGGATCTCATGGCACCATTTCAAAGAAGATCAAAGGAGTTATCCTGGTTTTCTGGCCAATATTTTTCCCTCCGTAAACGTCCAAAAAGTAGAGTACCTGTTAGGTGGTTACCTGTTAGGTGGTTACCTGTTAGGTGGTTACCTGTTAGGTGGTTACCTGTTAGGTGGTTACCTGTTAGGTGGTTACCTGTTAGGTGGTTACCTGTTAGGTGGTTACCTGTTAGGTGTTGATAAGTGTGAGGTCATCCATTTTGATAGGAATAACAGCAAAATGGACTATGTTTTAAATGGTAAAAAATTGCAGCACGCTGCTGTGCAAAGGGACTTGGGTGTCCTTGTGCATGAATCGCTAAAAGTAGGATTGCAGGTGCAGCAGGTAATTAAAAAAGCAAATGGAATTTTGTCTGCCATTGCTAGAGGGATGGAGTTTAAAAACAGGGAGGCTATGCTGCAGCTGTATAGGGTCCTGGTGAGGCCACACCTGGAGTACTGTGTGCAGTTTTCGTCTCCTTACTTGAGAAGAGATATACTAGCACTGGAGGGGGTGCAGAGGAGATTCACTCGGTTGATTCCAGAGTTGAGAGGGTTGGATTATGAGGAGAGACTGAGTAGACTGGGATTATACTGATTGGAATTCAGAAGAATGAGGGAAGATCTTATAGAAACATATAAGATTATGAAGGGAATAGATAAGGTGGAGACAGGGAGGTTGTTTCCACTAGCAGGTGAAACTAGGACTAGAGAGCATCGCCTCAAAATAAAGGGAAGCAGATGTAGGACTGAGGTCAGGAGGAACTTCTTCACCCAAAGGGTTGTGAATCTGTGGAATTCCCTGCCCAGTGAAGCGGTTGAAGCTACCTCGCTGAATGTTTGTTTTTAAGGCAAGGCTAGATAAATTTTTGAACAGTAAAGGAATTAAGGGTTATGGTGAGTGGGCGGGTAAGTGGAGCTGAGTCTCAAGAAGATCAGCCATGATCTTATTAAATGGCGGGGCAGGCTCGAGGGGCCAGATGGCCTACTCCTGCTCCTAGTTCTTATGTTCTTATGTTATCACATCAGTGTGCAGCATCTTACTGTTTGGAAATTAGCTGCCATATTTCTCATATTATAATAGTTTTGTTTTTGAAATAGTGTTTCAAAAGTACTTTCTTGATTTTATTGCACTTTGAGACATCTTGAGGTCATGAAAAGTGATGCAAATTATTTTTTCCTTTCTCCATGAAAAAGTTGAGTTTGTGTAAGGCAATGAAAACATGTGCATACCACAGCCAGTGGTATCTTTCGCAAAGAGGAACCTGGCAATTCTGGTCATGCCTGCTATTACTGTCTGCTGATAAGAGAAGAAAATGAGCTTTTTAACAATGTAATTCTAACACTAAATGGGAAATGGTTGAAGATTTTGTTCAGTTCTGACCTGCATAAGAGTTCACTGTTTGTTTGTCATCTTCACAGGCACCAGCAAAGCAGTCGTTGCTACGTTAAATTTACAATAATGTCTGCAGCGGCTCATAGATTTCTCTGAAAGCTTGCCCATTTATTTCTCAC